AAGAATATGTTAAACCTCTCGTTCATGCGTACAATTGTACCAGAAATGAAGTGACAGGATATAGTCCTTATGAACTTATGTTTGGACGCTGTCCTCGACTCCCGATTGATCTTGCTTTTGGTCTTCCTATCTGTGAAGAGAAATGTCCATCACATTCGCAGTATGTACAGAACCTGAAGTCACGGTTGAAAGAGAGTTATCAGATAGCATCAAAGAACTCTGCCAGAAGTGCTCAAAGAAACAAGACTCGGTTTGATCAGCGAGTTCTACCATCCAAGCTGGAAGTTGGAGACCGAGTACTTGTGCGGAATGTGAGACTCAGAGGTAAACACAAACTCTGTGATAAATGGGAGCAAGATGTATTTGTAGTGGTGAAGTGTGCTGGGGATCTCCCAGTTTATACGGTGAAACCAGAGTGCAAAGATGGCCCACTACGCACTCTACACAGAGACCTTCTTCTTCCATGTGGTTTTCTCCCCATGACAGATGCTGAAAGACACACTGAGACAGTTCCAGTCACAAAACCCCAGACACGTCAACACACCAAGAAATGTCAAGAATCTTCTGAGGACTCTGCAGAAGGTGAGAACTGTGAGCAAGAAGAGATTCCATTCTATCTAGTTCCACCTCCATTAGAATTTAAAATGGAGAAACCACTCAGACAGTCATCACCTCCTTATGATGAAGAAAACTCTGTTGTTCCCACAGTTTCTCCAGTGGAAAAACAACCTGTTGAAATTCTTTCAGATTCTGAGAGTTTGAAGTCAGTTGTTGAAGTGGAATCAATTGAACCAGAATCTAGTGTCAAAGAGCAACCTGATGTTTCTGCAGAACAAGTTCCACCTCATCCTGAAGACTTACCTGATCCAGGCAGCCCCGTTGGTGAAACTGTTCCTGTTCCTGATTCTGAAATTTCTTTGAACAGATCCCCAAACCTTGATGGCATAAATCAAATTGATGACATTTCTCTAAGACGATCAACACGTCACAGAGTGGCGCCTAAACGGCTTCAATATACTACTTTAGGCAATCCGCTTATTTCAGTTGTTCAAACTTTATTGCACAGTTTGTCTGATGCTTTAGTTTTGACACCCACCACTTCCAGCAATGTTCACATTGTTTAATGTTTACATGTCACGGGACGTGCATGATTTAAAGGGGGGAGGGTGTAACCCAGGGTGAAAACTGCCCTTAGTCCCGCCTTACTGCCCCATTGGTTAGAGTGACAGTCAGTCACACAGTGCATGCAGCCAATTGACACACCTGAGACAATTATTTAGGCTTGCTCCAGCTTTCCCTAGTCAGATGTGAGAGGGAGAGCTGGAGACAAAGGAGCTACAGGTTGGTGTTCCCAAACAATCAGTTTCTCTTTGTTTGTAATGCACTGTTTAACCTCACAATATAAAAATCATGTAGATCCGAGAAATCCAGTGAGTTTGGAGCCTTGGAGCTGCCATACTCATCTTTTATTGGAATTGGTGAGTAGAGAGCAAAATGTTTGTTGTTTTAGCATGTTGGTGGCAGCAAATGCTAAGTGTGATCAATTGTTGTAATCCAACTGTAAGATAATGAGATAAATGTTCTTTATTTGGTCTGATAAGATTTTGCATTTATTTCTGTGTGAAACTGGAAAAGTCTAGTTAACTAGCCGGCTGGAAATTTACTGGTCATTCTTCAACTTAAATATCTGGATAATCCAACCATGGATTTCTGAATGTGTGTCGGTCAGACTCTGGACTGATCAGCGGGGAATTTAAGACCAGTTGTGCACAAACAAAAGAAGGATTGCCACAGTACTGTGTATATATTTGTTTTTGTATTTATTTTGGGTTCTATGTTTGTTGTCTTGTATTGTTTACTTTAAATTTGTCTAATACATGGTATTGAAAGCAGTTTTGTGTCATTTTATTGATTACTGACAACGGCTCCAGTAGACGAATTCTAGTCTTCTGAATTTCTTCCATCTAGTCCTTTTACAATTTGAATAGTGCTACATTAGGCCTGACGTCTCAGGTTCAGAAAGACATATTTGCGGTCAACTATGACAGAAAAGAGACTATCAAGTTTGGTTGAACTCAAATCAAAACGCACAAAGGCATTGGATCTAAATAAGGTTGTGTAGCGTTTTGCTGAGCAACATGGAAATCGCTGCATTCAGCTGTTATAGTCATGTTAACTTTATGTTCTGCTCTCTGGTGAGCCTTTACAGAGCTGCTACATTTTGTTTTGGCACCTGAGAAAATCTGATATTTCCTTTAATAAAACCAAAAGTGTTAAAAGTAAAAAATGTGATACTGGTGTAAATCCTGCTTAATATGAAGCAGTGTTGTTGTTTCTTTTTTTGTATATATAATATGAAACTATCCAGAAATGACCCGTATGAACCTACTCACAAGCAAAATGTATTTTTATGTTGCTTCTTTTCAGATTTGTGGAGATTTTGATGTAACATACAGAACCCGCCTTTTTGTTGATTTGTTGATACAGCAGTATGGAGGACCAACTCTGCCATATTTAAAAATAAATACAGAAATAAATAAATGCTTAATAAATAAATAAGCATACAATTAATTGCCACCAAAAATACAAACAACAAATAAATGTAAGTAGAAATTAAGTTATACAGCTAGTCATAAAGGTATATAACTCTTTTAATTGGCTTATTTATTTCTTTGCCTTTTTAATATTTACCTTATTTATTTTTTCGTCATTTATTATCTTCAACTTCATTTTTAAATTACTTATATTTTTAAGTATTTATTTATGTGCATGTTATCATATTTTTGTCTGTTTTATTCTTCCTTTGTGTTTTTTTACCCTAGTTATTTCTTCGCCGCTATTTCTTTCTGCCTGCCCTTTTAACATTTCTGCCTGCCATTATAATATAATTTCTAATTACATTTATTTGTTGATTGTATTTTTGGTGGCAATTAATTGTATGCTTATTTATTTATTGAGCATTTATTTATTTCTGTATTTATTTTTAAATATGGCGGAGTTGGTCCTCCATATACAGCTCTATCTACAGCATATTAACATGCATGAAATGTCCCTTTCATGTTGCCTTAACTGCTGTATGTCAAGTTACTGAGGAACAAATGGGGTAAATCTGTGTTCAGAGTAAACATTACATAGATGTCCAGTACCTTGTTCGGGTGCCTTGACCCATTTATTTCTACTGTGTAGTGATGCTCACTTTAATACAGCTCAGTCCATAGATTTCTTTCTATAGTTTCTTCTTGTGCAAATGCTGCAAAGCTGCCTCTCTGACAGTCAATCTCACACATCTGCGACTCAGCACCTGTGTCTTACCTTAATACCTTTCCTGTCATAAGGCCCCTCTAGAAGTAATGTTATCATTCTTCTATCTCCTATTAAGTGAGATCACATTGTACGATGTATTAATATGAACTGTTTCACATGAAACACTAGTACTGTACATACTATTCTCACCAAACTGTGATAACTGTGATTAAATTCAGTGTAAACAAATGCCATATGTTGCCACCCCTAAAAAATTCCTGCCCCCCTCTTGCCACCCCATAAATATTTTTCTAGATCCGCCCCTGCTCCCGACTACACAGAAAAAATAAACTTCTGCAAATTCACACTAAGAAATATAAACGAATATTTCATAGGACCAGATGAGATCATTATAATAATGAATTGCCTTTTATGTTTGAGCTGGCTCTTAATAGGACTGTTAATAAGCAAAGTCAATCATCCATCACGGTGAGAACCATGAGAGAACGAATTTCACTTGTGTTCTGGGTTTCACAGCATCCGGGTTAAAACTGATAATGATTTCTAAGCGGATGACCAGGCCAAGAGAAGAGATCCCAAGCGGCATAAAGTCAACCAGAAAGGGTGGCTGATGCAAGGCGTAATGAAGGAGTGGCTGCAAGAGTGCTAAGGGAAGCGACCTTAGCAACCATGTTTATCTGTATTTTAGTTGTTTCTTTCTTTAGATTACGCACTATATACTATAATTTTAACACAAAGATACATAATGTTTAAAATGAGTATATTTATGTTTAAATCCAAAGCCAAAACAGTTAGCTCCCTGACGTAGTATAGGATCCCATTTACGGAGCAGATCGAGCACAGACGACTGATAAAACAAAAAGGATTTTAAGGCATTTATTTTCTCAGGAATTACATTATTAACCTTTAACAGGTTATAGTTTAGTAGCTTACCATATTTTGGGAGGGAAAAGCATAATTTAGGTCTTTTTTACCAAATAAAATCGAGGGCGACCTGTATGTATATCTGGATGCACATGCGCAAATGAGCTGATGGTGAGAACAAGGAAGGAATGACTGACTTTTCTTCTTGTTAAAGCATAAACTGCACCTTAGGCCAAAAGGTAAACTGAATCTATTTTTTTCTGGTGTCCTGCAGGTTATTGTTATAGAATACATTTGCTACTCATTTAAACAGCACGGTGCATGTTTAGTACTTGTAGTTACCAGTAGTTGAGCAAATAGATGTATTTAAATTTGTAGCAGTAGCTTGCTTTTCAAACTGTTCATAAAAGAGAGTTGTTCCCAAACAGCAGTCTTTTTCCTGGTAATACAGCTTTGTGCATATTCTCTTACATATGGTAATTAACCACTAAAACACCTGCAGCTTTAAATCAGGTGCGCCTAATGTATGAACAAAACAAGATTTTCCCCCTAATTTTAGCTTGTGCATTTAACAATTCTTTGCATACATAATTTTTTATTAAGGAATTTATGATATAATCCTTTGCTTTTAAAAATCCCAAAGTCTTTGTTTACTCACAGTTTAAAAGTAGAGTAGATATATTTTTAAAATACATCTGATGCATGAACATTCCTTTGAGATGATAGACAGGGTGGTGTTTAATTTTGCTAAAAATAATAGTCTAAACAGAACTGTACTCTTAACTTCATCAAGAATTTATTTGTAAAGAACAATGTTTGCACGTCGTGCATGTGCAGTCATGTTGCACAACCAGTACATGGTTTTCTCTTCCTTTATAAAAAAGACTTTATTAATCATAATTAACCGATGTGCATCAGTCGGATGCATAGGTAAATGACCCCACACTGTCACGCTATATTTATACAGTTCGTTCTAAACATTTAAAAATTAATCAGTTATTCTCTTGTTTCAAAGTGATACATTTTTCCAATGTTAAATTACTCAAGCTTCCTAAAAAACAAACATAAAAAAAGCTGTGTGTAGAAAAAAAATTAAATGAACATTAAAATACGTGAAGCTATGCTTCTAATGCAAGAAAAACAAAAACATGATGGAAAGACAGAGAACGAGGATTAATAAGCTGTAAAACCAGATTATCCACTGTTACTGGCTTTGCTGCCAACAATGTTTGGTAACCAAGCATAAAAACTGGAGCACGAAGCTGCTGGTTCCAGGAAGATAAAGAAGCAATAAAGTCCCTAAGATTGACATATACATTTTAAACAAAGGGTATAAAAGTGACAGAATACATACTGACAAATCCGGGTATGTAAGGTATTTGATGTACACTTGCTTTGCTTCATTTGGAAAAGCTGCAAGAAGCATGCCAGCAGTTTTTAAAATATTGTCATGAAAATGCAAACTGTCGGTTGGTTCTTAAAGGAAAAGTCCGGTCACCAAGGAATAACCAATGGGTCATTATTTACACCTAAAACTAATCAGTTTGCATTGATTTAATGAATTAAGAGTTAATCAGTACAAAAATAAAAACAATATTTTTCACTGAGGCCGTGACCGGCCATTTTTCGTTGTTGGATTGCTAACTTGAAGAGGGAGAATTTTCCTTTAAGTTTTTCCAACATACTCAATGGGTTACTAATAAAAAACATAAAAAGTTTAACAAAGGTTAACCAACTGCTTGTGAAAACCTTTAAAATGCTGTAAACCTTATATCTCTTTCACTGAATTAAGTTTAGTGCACTGCAGTCTCTAGAGTGAGCCCAGTTTCCACCGGACAGATAATCAGTGGCACTGTGTTCTTCCCATTGTCATGAAGGCAGGGATTAAAGTACGGGTAGACAGGCTCTGTAAAACAACACCCTTTGTAGGTGTAGATATGACTCTTTGTATCTGCATTGTAGAATGACACCGATCCATCTTCATAGTCCAAGTAAACGCCCACTTTCGATGGGATTTCCTGAAGCTTTAGGATAACGGATGGTCCAGCACAGGCCCGAAGACTCTCACCCTTCCTCCTGCAGATCGCCCAGTAACCGTTGTCTGGACGGACAGTAATGGAGCCCTTCCTGTTAATGGACTCCTTGGCTACACCAAGATCCCAGTCGGTTTTATCTCCTACCTGTAAAACAAATGCAGAGCACAGAACTAAAGCACGGATGTAACTGCATAAGGAAATTGCTAAATTATTACACAGATCTTTCAAATGAATAATTCCTTAAAACACACTTTAGGAAAACTATTTCTGATAATTGCTACAGCGGTCTGTCCAGAGCGTATACTACATCCCAACCATGGACCTTGTTGAAATATGCTGTTTTGCCATAATATATGTTTTTGAGTAACAAAAAGTACTATTTGTCACAGGGCCAATCCTTTTGACAAACAGGAGATTGAGGATATGACGCCACTGAAATGTTTCTTTGTAGATGAAGCAGCAAAAATCAATCACAAGAATGATGAGCGGCATATGTCATTCTATTATAAGACAAAACAAAAACCACAAACGTACTGTAAAAATTAAGGCTTATAAAGAATGCTTGTTAAAGAGGCATTACAGCATTTCCTTATAATACTGCCACCTGTGGCCAAAACACAGAACTGCAGCTCTCTTCTGTTTGTTTTAATAGCTCAGTGTTCTTTATTTGTTCAATGATCTCTGTTTTTATTTTTTATTCATTTTACGGAGTGGAGTTGCCACTGGTGTCTGAGCATCCATAAAATCCACCTTGATTATAACACTGATTGCTAGGTCAGACAGATATAACATGAACATAAACTTGACATCACATCCACAAACAGCTCCAGAACTTCTGACCCAAAGTCAAATGAGGAAAATAGGCTACAATCTTATATATGCATCGGCGCTGATCTACTGAGGAGCCAGTCTGCTCATCAAATGATGTTTTAGTGGTAAAGGGTAAAAAAAAAAAAGTCTATTTTAAAGATATTGTTCAATAAAAGCTTTATTTCTCTTTAAACTTTTGAGCTTTCTAAGCCTGAGTTTACTTTCTTGTCTGAATAAAATTAAATTGACCAGCAGCTCAATGTCTGATCCTTTGAGTCTCTGCCAGACTACTTACGGATAAGTGTGATACTTACCCAAATGAAATAAAATACTCTATAGATACAAAATTCCAAGCCTTTTGATGCAGCTGGTTATTTTGTTATAATCATTGTTAATAAAACATGCATGATAAACATTTACATTTTAACTTTTTTGTTGTAGTTTCCATCAATATTCAAGATCTAAATTATCTCCACATATGACTTGTTTTTACCACAGTATTTGACTGTGTAGTGTTTGCAGTTCAGCAATGGGTCTAACTCTAAAAACCTACCTTAACCACCCAATATCTCCTCCCAAATGTGTAGCTTTGCTGCCCCAGGACGGCAACACAGGAATCGAACCTGCGGGGGTCCTTAGGGAGCGACTGTATTCCTTGCTGGCCGCTCAGGCTCACCTATGGATCACCAGGAGATTATTACATATTAGCAACAAAAACACTGACATCCAAAAGTCTGAGAAGGGTTTATAGTGACAGACGAAAGCGTCTCACTGTGAAACACACCTTTTTACCATCGGGGGACAGAAGCAACCAGTTAGCAGCAGTTCTAGGATCCAGAGTCACATCCACTAAAAATAGATGGATATAAAGAATGGAAACGTCACTCAGTATCAATAAAGTTTCAATCAATAAAAACAAAATTGTTCAGATGCAGAAGTTTGAGACAATTTATAAACTATAGTAAAGGAACCCTCTTAAAGATTCACATGCATACCTGCATAATTGCCAATCTTGTTGATTTCTGAAAAGAAAGAGGGAAAAAAAAGGTTTTAAAATTATTCAGTGAATTATCTTGGATGCAACATGGTCAAATCTTTATAAAAGACTACATGAAGCGTTTTCTGTTATGTCAATTGAATAAGTACTGACCTTCTGCACAAAGGTTATTTTCCAATTCCCGGCACAAGTCCACCAGCTTGGAGAAACTTGCCCTGACACTTCTAATGTAAATATCAGGCTCAACACTGACCTCAGACCAGTTTGTGGATGATGGAGGAGAAGTCAGGCATGGGAAGCTCTGGAATAGTAAATTCCGAATGCAAAATTTTTTTACGTTTATTAGGCAGAAAAATGCTGCTGTTATATATTTCTAACAGGACAAGCAGAGTGAATTAATATCTCATGTGTCTAATTTGCTGCTAAATTTAACCTGCAATCACATTAAAACAAGTAGTGCTTTATGAAAGATTAGTTTACATTATGGTTAAAATGTCTGACCTGCAGGAGATGAAGCTGGTCCTTGGTGTCCTTCAGATATTGCAGCTCACTGCATCTCCTCTGCAGTTCATCGATCTCCTGGTTGAGCTCTTCTATTAGGTCTTCTCCTCTCCTCTTTGCTGCTTCATGCTTCTCTTCAATCTCCTCTATGAGCAGAGCTTGGTTTCTCTCAATGGCCTTTATTGCCATGCTGGCAATATGAGCACTAGTTTGTATCTCTTTGTCTTTATCAATCTGCAAAAAAAGGAAACAGAATTATCTAGAAGTCTTTTTCATTTTCATGAAATTACCCTAAGCTTTTTGAGATTGAACACAATTTGTTGCCAGAATATATTTCAAAACGTCACTTTATGCTTACATCTTATTATACTTATTATATTTGTTACCCAATGAAAACATCACAACCTATACTTCCTGTAGCAATAAGTAGTTGAGACAAATTATTGATAACTGAACATAACCCTGATTGGTTTTGTTCCAAACGAAGCAGTTGGGATCTTTTAAAGCTCTGCATAAGTACAGGTCAGTCCAATCAAAGGTACAGGTTCAGATCTAAAGTCATTTTTTTCTAAATTATCTGTTTTTTATACTAGACCAAACTTTTCTTCTCACATATTTGACTAATCTACAGTCTATTGTTTTTGTTTTCTGCTTCTCTGCTTCTCTGCAGAGACCTGTTCAAATGCAGCTCAATCAAATGCTCAATATGAAAGATCAAAACTATGAATTGAAATTTTTTTCAGTAACTTTGTTCTCGGGTGATTCATTGAACTACGTCAAAGATTTTACAAGGTGAGTCATAAACAAGTCTGATCAAAAACAAAGTGAAGATGCTAATGTTTGTTCACTAATTCAATTAATTGCTACATAGTAGGAATATGTGAAAGAACATGAGGAACATTTTTCCAAAATATAGCCTCAGGGTTTAGTTACATGCATTTTTAGAGTCCTGTTGTTACCTTGCAGCAACTAAAATGTAATAATAATAATTAAATTACTAATGAGTTTTACTTATCACACAAATGTTCACCATATTTTACCTATAAACCATTTCACTTCCTACATTGTATTGATATTACCGTAATTATGCAATGTCAATTCTTTAATGACATAAAAAGCCATTACGGAGGTTTTTTTAATGTTACTGCCACCTGTGGCGAAAACATAGAAGTGCAGCGCCCCTCTGTGGTTCTCGTAATGAGGCTGCTATTGGTGTCTGATATGAGCTGGGCAGCGGAATTTCCCAAAAAAAGTAATAAAAAAATTGTAAAAATAATGCTTTAAATATTTGCTAGTTTTTACCCATCTAACATGGATGGGATTGACGTCACATCCGTTAAACAGTGCGGCAACCACTGACCCGAAGTACATTACTGAAAAATAGGCCATAAGCTTATAGATGCATCGGTGCTGAATTGCCAAGGTGTCAGTTTGCTCACTTAACAAGGTTTTAGTCACAAATAAAAAGGCTATTTTGGACATACTTTTTAGTGAACACGTACATAATGTCTCTTTAACTTGACTCAAGATCACGGACAAAAAAAAAACTTGAAAAAAATTAACCAGAACATATCTTGGATGTACATTTTCAATAAATACAGTTTTTATGTTGCAAAAGCCCAATAGTGCAAAATAAATGCACTTCTTTTGAGAAAATGGTAGAGCTTAAAGTGAAAATCCACGTTTGTCAAGTTCAGTCATTTTCTTTTACTGTTATCCGCAATTCAACTGAAAGTCAAACTATGGTTTCCTGTTAACCAAATTCTTTCAGTTCCCGAAATGCCTTTACCTGCTTTGTGGACTTTCAAAAAAACAAACAAAAAATACATTTATGGCTGAATTATTGTCTACTTGAAAGATGGTGTTACTGCTCATGTATTTTCAAAACAAGATGATAAAACAGCCCAAATGTCATATCCTTACAGAAAGTTATGTGAGAAAAAAAAATTCAGATAAAAAAATGTAAGGTAAGAAAAGCAATCTTATTAAACCAGATAAGATTAAACTGGCAGAATTCACTACAAATAGCTCTCCTGATCATACACTGGTATCGTACTGACATTGTAATAATGTATACATTGCAATACGTTTATTGAAAACTTTTAATTTAGCAAAAGATACTTTGAACTCAATCTTAAATGAAATAAAAGCCTTACCCTGCTCAGCTCTATAGAGTTCTTGAGCTCCTCACATCTTTTGAGCCTGTTTTGAATCATTTGTTGAATCTCAGATTGAGCCACCTTCAAATGTGCCTGGAAAAGAGTTAAAATTATAGCATTGATTAATACAGTTTGATTCATTAGGATAGTAGTAGATAGTTTGGAATTATGACGGGTATTTATTATGGGTTACCTTGATCCTCCTGCTCTCTTTCTCCATAGGAACGATTTCATGTTGCTTATGGTCTCTCTCAGTGCAGCTCCGACAAACAGGAGTCTGGTCCTTTTTGCAGAACATCTCCAGCGGCCTGTTGTGTTTTCTGCAGAGGTGTCTTGTGCTAAAGGTGGCCGGATCCGTCAGACTATGCTTCATCATCACCGGATCCCTCAGATGAGGGGCCAGGTGCTTTTCACAATAAGATGCTTGGCAGACCAGGCATGACTTCACTGCTGTCAGCTTGTTTTCTCTGCAGATGTCGCAAGCTATAGTGTCAGATTTCAAGGACCGTCTGGAGGAATTTTTCCTTGGTGCTGGCTCTGGTTTGCAATCTTGTTTTGTTTTTATAGATCTTTGTGTTAAAAAAGAACATATGTTTAATAAAATGGAAAACAGACATATTTAATATGCTTAAAATATTGTACTAGCTCCATACCTTTTGTATTGTTCTGTAATGTCTTTCAAGCCTACATTCACCCTGAGGGTTGGTCGGGTTTGGAATGCCTTTTTGCAAAGTGGACATTCACATTTGCGGCTCGCATCCCAGAAACCCTGAATACAATCCATGCAGAAGTTGTGGCCACATGGGATAGACACCGGATCGGTGAAACTATCCATGCAAATGACGCACAGAACTTGGTCCTGAGTCAGAATAAATGCCATGTTTCTGGGTAAGAAAACAAGAGATTCAAGGTTACCTTTTCATGGAAGTGAGAGGCAGATAAAATAAAATATGCTTTATTCTGTTTGCAAGAAAAAACTGTGGTTATTACCTAACAATTAAAAGAGTTGTGAACGTTAACAAACAAAAAAAATAAAATAAACTAGTGAGTGTTTTATTATATTACAGACCATATGATTTTTTTTTTTTTTTTTTTTACATTTCACAAATGAAATTACAGTGGACCTTTACATGTTAATTATTTTTAAAAGGTAAAAAAATATATACTAGTTATTAATAAAAACTAAGTTTCTCATTATATAATACATCTAAATAAATAAATGAATATGCATAGTCAGATTTTTTATCCTGAAATCCTCACAAGCAAAGTGTCAAGAAAGTTCATATTATTTAACACTTTTATCCATTTTCTGAGTTAAATTCGGTTTAGGTATTAATTGACTTTGAGTACAAAGTACTTTTTAATCTCAAAGGAGGATAAATATGTTGCAAATTTTACTCTCAAAGGGTCACTGTATGTTGTGTGGAGCGGGAGCAGGCAAGATGCAGACCTGAATGGTGTAGCTAAAGCAAACGTAGATAATGATGGCAGTTTTGTTAAAAATTTTCCCTGGGACAAATTTATTCATATTTATGTTTCAATTTTCCCATCTGACTAATTTCTATGCATGTTTACTACGTCTGCTCGTAATCACAATTTCTTAATAATAAATACTGTACCATTAATCACATCCTCATGATTCTAAAATAAATGCATCGTATTTGGATCTAGCGTTTTTCTGCAGCCATGCTGAGTCTAATTAAACATCTTTGTAGGAGAAATTTCATTACTGATTTTAATGCAGAACATGTGAATGCGAGCAACATTTCATAAGGCGCATTACGAAATAAAGCAAAACAAATAGAGACAGTAACAAATGTCTGCTTTTGACTTTTCAAATATAAAGTTTTGGTTATGTTAATTATGGGACAGTGTCTTGCAAAAAAAATATATATATATCTAAATTTCCTGATGATTATTTCTAGCATGTACCACGCTTAGTCCAGCACATGCTGTAATCCCCTTTCTGATTTTTCATAAACTCCTCCATTCAGTTATGTTTTTTATTTTTTTATTTTAACACACCCAGGAGATCTCAAGATTACTATACAAAAAAAAAAAAATAATAATAAAAGAAAGAATAATATCCTGCAGATTTCTCAGGCATATACGAAACAGTTCTGCTCATATTCACACCTGGAAGGTTTTGAAACATGCACAGGACTGCAGGAGGAGAATGCCAGTGTAAATCACATTGTTTTTAGGTTTCACAATTTTGGTGACCTTTTTCAAAAATGCAATTATCTATTTTTTAAATATCCAAAATAAAGCATGGCCATTATGCAAGGTACAAAAACTGACAATGTCTTACCTGTAGCAGCCTTCACCAAGTGTGTGACTGTTGCAGCACCAACTGACTGTTATGACACTAAGACATATGGGTAAGCTACTCCCACAAGGGCATAAAGAGCAACTTGTTACTCCAGTTTTCCTGTCCGCTCTAAGTTTCATTAACTGAGAAATCCTTTAAAGACTTCCTTTTTTACTATGTTTGCTCTCATAACAGCACACAGAAAAGATTAAGAAAAGATTAAGAAAAGTATATCCGTATGGGTTAAAAGGATGGGCTATTTTAAAGAGATGGGCTTTCTGACTAGTTTTGGTCAGCATGTAATAGAGGGACTAAAGACCCTGCACCCCATGGTGATGACTGGTGGAGCAGAAAGGAGGCTGAATGCATGGCAATGAGGACCAGTAGGTGAAATAAATCTGGAGGGATGAGATTATGAATAGCTTCGAGAGTGAGTAAAATAATTTTGCAGAGGATGCAGGATTTAAACAAGAGCCATGAAAGCTTCTGCAGGACAGGAGTGATCTGATTATAAGAAGGATTTTTGATGACAACACAGACGTCCAATCTCTAAACCATCCGTAGGTTGAGAGCAAGAAAAGAAACTAATCAGATTTACTAAAACGATTTTTGTGTCAACAAGGAAGAGCTCTTTTTTTCCTCTGTTTCAATTCAGAAAATATTGAAAACTAGTGATCGAGCTCCTTAAAACAAATTATAAGGTAGAGGGTTAGAGGTAGAGGGTGGGGATATTGGAGCTTTCTTTGGAGTACAGCTGGGTTTCATAAGCTTAGAAATAAAACCTGATCCCAAATTTGCAGAAGATGTGGCCCAGAGAAAGAACATAAATAATTGGAGGGGCCCAAGGACGGAACCTTGGGGCACACCACTATACCCTGGTTAGGAATGAGAATGAAAACATTGAATTTGAATGAACTGTGTGCAGCCAGAGATGTATGATACGAACCAGTCTAAAGGGGTATCAGAAATGCAACTGATGTTAGTCTGTAGGATGGAAAGATCAGGGATTTCAAAGGCTGCACTCTGGTCGAGAGGAAAAAGGACAGTAATGGAGCCCTTCCTGTTAATGGACTCCTTGGCTACACCAAGATCCCAGTCGGTTTTATCTCCTACCTGTAAAACTAATGCAGAGCACAGACCTAAAGCACTGATGTAACTCCATAAGGAAATTGCTAAATTATTACACAGATCTTTCAAATGAATAATTTCTTAAAACACACTTTAGGAAAACTATTTGGGACGGTGTCTTGCAAAAAAAAAAAAAAAATCTAAATTTCCTGACGATTATTTCTAGCATGTACCATGCTTAGTCCAGCACATGCTGTAATCCCCTTTCTAATGTTTCATAAACTCCTCCATTCAGTTCTGTTTTTTATTTTTTTTTATTTTAACACACCCAGGAGATCTCAAGATTACTATAAAAAAAAAAAAAAATAATAATAAAAGAAAGAATAATATCCTGCAGATTTCTCAGGCATATACGAAACAGTTCTGCTCATATTCACACCTGGAAGGTTTTGAAACATGCACAGGACTGCAGGAGGAGAATGCCAGTGTAAATCACATTGTTTTTAGGTTTCACAATTTTGGTGACCTTTTTCAAAAATGCAATTATCTATTTTTTAAATATCCAAAATAAAGCATGGCCATTATGCAAGGTACAAAAACTGACAATGTCTTACCTGTAGCAGCCTTCACCAAGTGTGTGACTGTTGCAGCACCAACTGACTGTTATGACACTAAGACATATGGGTAAGCTACTCCCACAAGGGCATAAAGAGCAACTTGTTACTCCAGTTTTCCTGTCCGCTCTAAGTTTCATTAACTGAGAAATCCTTTAAAGACTTCCTTTTTTACTATGTTTGCTCTCATAACAGCACACAGAAAAGATTAAGAAAAGATCAAGAAAAGTATATCCGTATGGGTTAAAAGGATGGGCTATTTTAAAGAGATGGGCTTTCTGACTAGTTTTGGTCAGCATGTAATAGAGGGACTAAAGACCCTGCACCCCATGGTGATGACTGGTGGAGCAGAAAGGAGGCTGAATGCATGGCAATGAGGACCAGTAGGTGAAATAAATCTGGAGGGATGAGATTATGAATAGCTTCGAGAGTGAGTAAAATAATTTTGCAGAGGATGCAGGATTTAAACAAGAGCCATGAAAGCTTCTGCAGGACAGGAGTGATCTGATTATAAGAAGGATTTTTGATGACAACACAGACGTCCAATCTCTAAACCATCCGTAGGTTGAGAGCAAGAAAAGAAACTAATCAGATTTACTAAAACGATTTTTGTGTCAACAAGGAAGAGCTCTTTTTTTCCTCTGTTTCAATTCAGAAAATATTGAAAACTAGTGATTGAGCTCCTTAAAACAAATTATAAGGTAGAGGGTTAGAGGTAGAGGGTGGGGATATTGGAGTTTTGTTTGGAGAACAGCCGGGTTTTCATAAGCTTAGAAATAAAACCTGATCCGAAATTTGCAGAAGATGTGGCCCAGAGAAAGAACATAAATAATTGGAGGGGCCCAAGGATGGAACCTTGGGGCACACCAGTATACCCTGGTTAGGAATGAGAATGAAAACATTGAATTTGAATGAACTGTGTGCAGCCAGAGATGTATGATACGAACCAGTCTAAAGGGGTATCAGAAATGAAACTGATATTAGTCTGTAGGATGGAAAGATCAGGGATTTCAAAGGCTGCACTCTGGTCGAGAAGAAAAAGGACAAATAAAACATCAGTCAGCAGTGAGGAGGAGTATCTTTTTAAAAAAAATCCTGTGGTAGTTTCCAAAATCAAATTAAAACTCTTTATCCAACCTTTTGTATGGTCAATTTAATTTCAGTTGACTGGTGACTGTTTTAAAAAAAACTTTGAATATGAAGGGTAGATTACAGATAGGATGAAGATTTTTGAAGTGTGAGGTGTCGAGACCTGTTCTTTTAGTGACAGGAGTAATGGTCACAGGTTTAAATGCAGCAATGGCAACACAGAAGACAAAGAGTAGTGGATAATAATGCTGGTAATGATTGACATCAGAGAGAGAGAAACAGGTTTTAATAGGGAATGCCATTAAAAGATCAACATAGCAGGAAGATGTCAACATCAGAGAGGAGGGAAAATAACAAGAAGGAAGGTAACAAGAGTCCAACAGACTTGCTGGAGCAATGGTTTGGCCAAAGCACCTGATGGAAAAATCATTTTGGTTGAAACGATTTTACTAAGTAACAGAAACCCAAGGAGAGCATGTGTGGGTGTAAAGGGTACGGAGATTTAACCAACTGGTCAAAAGGGAGAGTGGTCTGAACACTGCCTGCTCTTATTGGATGATGCAAGGACCACAGTATGGGAGGCTCTACCTTCTTTTCATCACTAAACATGACATCTTAAATAAATATAAATAAAGTTGAACTATTTAACACATATTTTATCCTGAGCTGTAGTTCATAACACCAGCAGTATCATTCTCCTATGAGAGAGGAAGAAATAACCTAAAAATATATTGGCTAGTTGCCATGTTATGTAAGCAAAACTTTTCTCACACAAATACCAGCCGCCTGGTGCTGCTAATGGCTTCTACTTTGTTAGCATTAAAGTTTTACCAATAATGAAACAGAGAAAAAAGAACAGCTTTCTGAGGAAGAAAGGTCTACTGCTCCACCTTACCACTATGCTACAGTACCAGACACAGACAGCCTCATAGAAATATATCTAAGATCAACAATGATCCAGATAAGACTTAGTAACTTGATGTGCACTGATACACACAGGCATGTGTTGACAGCGCTGGATGCTGTGAGGATAGCCCGGGACTTCACACAGCATGACTATATTTTATATTTTATTAGCTGTGATTTAATAATCCTAAGTGGAAATAAATTAGGCCTTGGGTGGGTAAATGCTGGAAAAAAGTGAAAAATAAAGACTTGGTAGCTGACCTTCAATTATAAGGTCCATTTTATTTCGTTCAGGGACAGTGGCCTAAGAAAGCAATACATCCTGGTGTCTAGAAAAGGTTTAATTTGTCCAATGATGTCTTATCAAGGAACATGTGCATGCCCATGTGCATTAGGTAAAGGTATTTGGAATATTGCCCAGTGGGCTTGCCCAGCTTCCAATGCGCTCCAAAGTCCATGGGTGGATGTGTTTAAGACATGTGTTTTGATTGAGACAGACTAGTTACTCCAGTTTTCCTCTATACTATAAGTTTCACTTTAGATGTGTCAAGAAATCCATTCATCCATGAGGGTAAAACTGTTTTGTTTTGGTTTTCTTTCATTTGACACCTTCCCACATCCATCAAAGGTAACATATCAGGTATTATATCCAAGGACCTTTGGGTTTGGTTTGCCTTGAAACATCGGTGTTAACTTTTGTTTTCTCTCTGTGTTTGTTTGAAATAATTTATTTGGCAAAATATAGATTTTCAAGTAAACAAAGAACAGTGTTCAAACATCTCTACAAACAGCATTCAGAATTAACGTATGTAAGAAAGCTGGAAAATAGGGCATAAACTAAAAAAATGAACGTTCAAAATGAAATAACTCAATAAAAAAAAGGCTTGAAAATAAGGCTAAATTCACTTAGTTCCAGTGTGCACTTCCGGAATGATGTATTGTAAAAAAAATGCTAGCACCCTGCCCCTGCAGTGGGAGACCTTGCTTTGCGCAAATGAGCTGATGGTATGGATCATGCTTCTGGTATGGATCAGGTAGTGACACTGCATGACTTGGAGTCTTCCAATCTTAACAGGCCTCTGCGCAGCACTATGATGTAATCGACCAACGAATCCGGCGTTCGGAGGACAAAGCCGCTGAATTCTAACTCAGCATGTCTTGTTTGAAAAAAACTCTGGTCTGCTATTCATCATTGCTTATTGCTCTGTGGTACTTTATATATGGTATGTGGGGGTGGATAGGTCTGCTACCCTGTGTGTATGCTCTATATATCGATATGTATATCTATATATGAAGATATACATATGGATATCTATATATGTTTTCTTGGATCATGGATTTGTTTGTTATAGTGCTGTCCACATATCCTGCCATTAATTTGTCAATGTACTTGACATGAAATCCTACTTGTCTAAACTTGTTTGTGTGGCGCCACCTTGAGGCCTTATTAGTGCATGTGTCTTTTTTTTCTACACTGATCATTTTTAATGAACTTGAAGCAGTTGGGCATGTATTTACAGAACAACACATCCAAAAGATTTGTGATTAAATAACATGAAGTCACAACATTTCACTTCTTAAAACTTTGAAAAAACAAACAAACATAAATTTATTATTCAGTGTATTGTTCAAGAAAGAAAAGCTACTGCTTCTATCTGGGTTTTATTTGTCATTATGAGCTTAATAATTTAAATTACATTATTGAGAAGTTCATTTCATTTATGTCACAAAGTTAATTGGGTCATTCCATGGAAAGTGTTATGATTGGACCTCTGAATTTAGAGGTTTTTGATCATAACCTTTTTTTCCGGTTTCATAGCCTATAGAACATGTAACACTTGCAATAAAACATATTTTTTAAGCTCAGACACTGTTTTCTGCAAATATTTTAGTGCATTATATCGAGAGTACAGAGTTTCTTTTTCCACCCCGTCACAGTACAAAGGTTAACAAATTCTAGGGTAATTTTAGATAAAAGTAAGACAAACAAAATGTTATTCACTTCAGAAAGTGTCATTTTGTTCAAAAATACCAATAGTGAGTTGTGTTTTTTTTATGTTTTTATTTGATGTACAGCATTATTAATAAATGTAATATGCAAGAGATTATACTCTCTTTGCTAACATTTACAGTCTGACTTCAGAATCTACAATGAAACTTACATAATATGTACATTATTGCAAATATAAACTATGTGTATTGCTTTGACCACTAAATTACCTTTTGTCTTTGAAAAAAAAAATCACTCTGACGGGGTGGAATATAGTGTGACGGAGTGGAACACTGTGACAGGATGGAAGTGACAAATCTAAGAAGAACAGCTCCTCCAAAAAATAAAATCACAACTAACTTTGGGTAGTAGGATAGTTTACAGCTGTTCTCAGCAAGAACATTTTGAGTAATGTTTTTTGTTGTTTTTTTTTAAACTGGGTTTACTCTGCCTGTTCTGGTGAAAATTGTCACTTTTGACTGAGGAAAGGTGCCCTGAGTTTTACGGGAATTTGTCTGCTTGTTTTATTTCCTTTTTCAGGTGTTTTTTTTAGCCTCTCAATTTCTTTATGTAGTCTGTCTTTGTTTTTTTTTCTGGCCAATCTCTTCAAATGTTGCTGTTAGCATTAAGTACAATGAAAAATGAATGATTAAGAAAAATATAATTTCAAAATTTGATTAACAAATTGTTTTTCCCACTTTTTGTGTGTGACGGGGTGGATATGTTATGGTTAACAGAAAAGATTTTGAAGGAAAAATTTACCAAAAAATTTCTTAAAGAAAAATCAAAACTCACCATTGTTTGGACTTCTCTTCTTCAAACTCTTGAATGATGTCACTTCATGCTAGTGATGTCACTTCCAGGAAGTGTATTGTATTTTGGTGCAAAATTACATTGGTGTGACGGGGTGGAATATGAAATTCATAGACAGAAAAATCATGCTATTTTAATTTTAAAAAATGACATTTTAATATAATTAACACATTTCCTATTAAGAGGAAAGTATTTCTAACCATAACAACAAAAAGTTTTGAGATTTATTTCACATTTCTT